TATGGCTATATCATTTGCATAGGTTTTAAAGGCTTTTCACAAAGCTCAGGAGGAATGGAAAAAGACTGTAGAATAACATAGATCAGTGTTTCTCAACCTCAGCAATTTTAAGATGTGTGGACTTCAGCTCCCAAAATTCCATGTCATGCCCAACCATGGTTTAACCATCTTTTGTTAAATAAACCACAATGAGGTAGAATCATGCAACCAACCAAGCCAAAACAAACAAACCACAGGCCAGTAAACCCCAATAAAAATCCCAGAAATTGAAACAACTGCTAGCACAGGAACTCAAACCAACATTGCTGCTGTCCTTAATTAAATTTGGCAGAACTGAAAGATGGATGGTTATTGTTGAGAAAATTAGGCAGAGAGGGTGCTGTGTGCACCTCTTCTAGCTTCTGTATTAAAGTCAAGCTAATAAATTTAGTGACAAATATACTGCATTTGTCTATTTGTGATGGAACCGAAACAGGAGTTGCAAGTTCTGAACCGTTCAGGGTCAGCTACTATTGGCACACTAGAAGTAGAAGTGCAAATGTACTTATCATCTGGAGATCTAGAAGTATCTAATTCTTAAGCAATAGTCTCGGGACTATGAACGGGTCCTTTCAGAGGGAGCATCGTTCCCTGCAAAACTGTTTCTACTGACCAACAGTACCATTTGTTTCCTTGTTAATTTTGGATTGTTAACCATCACCTAGCTTGTGATTATGGAAGCATTCTCTACATTTCCTTTGTTTGGCACCTTCACTCTTCTCTTTTGGACAGCAGACCATCTTTCAGTCCTGCCAAATTTAAGTCCATCCATCTTAAATGGCCAAGGTTGAGAAACATTGCATTATAATATATTTAGTGGGGGGGGGTGTTTTCCACTGTATAATCCCTATTATCTTTTCTAGCCCTTGGGAGTGTAGGGTTGCTCTAATATATTTCACCATTTTTTAAAACCAAAACAAACAAACAAACAAAAAACTTTGGATCCTGCATTCTAGATCCATTATTGGACAATGGGTTCAACTACATAACCACCAGGGTTCAACTTTTTGATTCTATATTTAGCCAGAGATTTTTCTTTTCATATTTCCTACCATATACATTGATTGCAAACCACAATATTTGCAGGCTGAGAGGAAGCAGAACAGAGTATATAGCATTAATAATACTTGACAACCCACTGGCATTTTTCAAAGGAGGACAATCTAAAAAAAAGTCTTTCAACTAAAAGAACCTATAGTGGCTCAGCGGTGAGAAGAAACAAGGAAGAGCGTGAAGACAATGAATGAAATATGCAATGTAGTGAACACTAGCGGACATTTTTTGCCCTTGTAAAAACAAACTAAAAACTACCAAGAAGTCAAATGCACGTATGAGGCTGACATGGATTCACTGTACAATATTATGTCTAGAAAGAAATCCATCACTCCAAGAAGTCTGACAAGAGCGCAGGATTTTCAGAAGTCCTTAAGCCTTCCAGTGTTAACTACTCTACTACTACCTTCTTTAAAATATATATATATTTTATAACTGGTGCTCATTTCTTCCTGTTGCCATCTAAAAAAAAATGAAAGCTGCTTTCATCACAAGGATGTTTACCATCTTTAATGGGGGCTTATGGTTCCTATTAGAACTGCAGCCAGAAATGGTGCAGAACCAACCAACCCCTAAACCTGGAGTGAAGGTGTTTAAAAAATGCACTCCTATAAAAACAGATAACCTTTCATTTAAGCAGGCATGTCTTTCTTCAAAGGTACCTTTTTTAACTTGCAACCTCTCCTGTGGCTACAATTTATCCTGTGTCGGAAGCATTAATCCCCTGCTTTTAACTGAATTTACATTCCACTGAAAACATTTGTTTTGCTTTCTATTTTAAACATTTGTAGGCCGTTCTTCCAAGTCGGGGAGTCTTACAAGCAGCTGATGGCAAGTGACTGGGCTGCTGCAGAAGATAAACCTACAGTCCAAAATTCACCTTCCTAGGAGTAAGCCCCACCAAACCCCACGGGCCTTTCTTCTAAGTCAACATGCGCTGGTTTTTACTGCCAACGTCATGGAAACAAAATATTAATAAGGATTTACGCTGTTTGGGTACCCAAACTACTGGAACTCTTCTGAGCAACCATAACAATTCAATAACAAATATTGCAAATTCTGAAAAGTTACTTGCAATGCATTACTTTAAAAAATGGAAGCGTAAGAATGTCCCTGCACAGAGAAGAAAAGAGATGCCTTCAGTTTTAAGTACGTTCTTCGTTTTTCAGCTTACCCCATTAGGTTGACAAAGAATAAAACTCATCGCTCGACTTCAGGCCTCAGAGATTCCTGAAAAACTAACAATCCATCGGAGGCTCTTTCCACACTTATCCTCAAGCCAAGCACAGCACAGATTGTCCGTGCACATCAGCAGAGAGGAAGTGCCGCTGAGTGGCTGATGCCAAAACAAGCAGCAAAGTCTGGAATTTGTGAAACCAAAAATAGATGTAGTTCAGCAAACCTTCACAGCTCATCTACTTCTCGCTGGCAGAGCACAAGGAAACAGCACACCAAAGTCTGCTTGGAAGAAGCAGATCAGATCGGCGGCTGCCCCAGTTTCATCGAGCCCAGCGTTTTGCTCAACATGCGGACAAGAGAGCGGAAAGGAGGTGAAGAACTGGAGAACGAAAGCAGGAGGAAAACGATGGGGCTCGGCTGCGATTCTACCAGTTAAGCAAACGGTACGGTTTTCTTCATCGGAAAATGAAAAGAAAAACCCTAATACTGTCTCAAAATTCAAAAATCGGGAGCAAACTAAGAACCAAGGAAAGAATGGACTAAAGCATCAGAAGATGCTTGGGCCAAATCCAGCTAAAATTAGTTTTTTTGCTCTGAACTGGAGCACGTCTGTCCATTTAGGCATGTTTAACTAGCTTTCAGTGCGTGTACACACAGAACCCTATTAACATTCCATGAAAGAACATCTCCGGCTGCTTCCGGACCAAAGGTTTCTAGGATTATCACTCAGAAAGCAAGTGTGCAGCTGTTGCGTTTTTACCTCCCTAATGTACTGTTTTCCAAGAAGGAAAAAAACAGGCACCGATGGGAAAAAGGCACACAGTGGTGATGGTGGGTGCCAAGGAAAGACAATATTTACAATATCAAAACGCCATGAAAAGGGTAGAAAGACTGTGTGATAAAAACCATTGAAATTATGAAAGTACCATTCATTTCAATGGGGTTCATTTTCAAGAAAGCATGCATTTAGTGGAATGGCTAGTTACCTTCCATCCCACAAAGATGGCTTTGATTTTACATGGAAACATATCAGCACACACATCTGACCGTCCTTAACTTGACACACAGAGCTAAATCCAAACAAAACACATTACTTAGGTTCTCACAATATGCTTGCCCATCCCAACTGAACTACAGGATATTGAATTAATTGTCTGGATTTAGAGAGCCCCCGAACTATAAACCAGCAGCTATGGGTTTGGTTCACACAACACACTAAGCCAGAGTGTACCTCAGTGGGACATGTGAACCCAGCCAGAATATTCCGCAATTTAAGTGTCTTCCCTGAACACGTTTAATTGTACGCTGCCCCAGTCAAAAGACTCTGCGTAGCACAAAAATCACAGTACGAAAATCCACAATAAAAAGACAACACCACAAGCCATAAAATCACAACACTAAAAACTGGCAGAAGAACAGCAGCCCCAAATATTGCCGCTTATTCCCCAAAACCTCAGCAGCAGAATGGCAAGTTTTGAACCAGCTTCTGAAAGAGTAAACAAGATGGAGCCAACCTGACCTCAGAGGAAAAGTTACAATACCCCATAAGGCTGGGCAACCATTGAGCGGGTCTGTTTACAACCTTCCATCCCTCTCATGACCCAGGGAGGGCAATCTTCAGCAGAGGCTCAGGACATAGAGGGTTTATAGGTTCTGACCACACCTTAAGTTGGACTCAGAAGCAAACTGTCAACAGTATTGCTTCTACAATACCAATGCTTCCACACAGTTTTCAAGGGAAGGCCCCTGTAGAGCAAATTTCAGTAATCTAGACACAAGATGATGAAGGCCTGAGTCACTCCTGGCAGAGCCTCCTGCTCCAGAAAAAGCAACAACTGATGCACAGCCATAACGGGGCAAGGTTCTGCTGATCCAGCAGGAGCCATGAGTCCAGAGAATCCCCCTGTGTCAGCTTGCTCCTTTGGGAGTGTTACCCCTGCCCTGAGCCACAAGCCTTCTGGCCAAGGAGCCTAATAGTGTTCACTCTCATGCGGTCCATCCCAAACACTAGCTCAGGACTTCTGTTGCATCTCTTTCTTGGTCCAGTGTGGCAATATACAACTGAGTATCATCACCAGTAATACTTTAACCCAAATGGAAAAATGATCTTCCCTAGTGGTTTCTAACAGATATTTAAAAAGCAGGGGAAAGAGCTGCCAGGACACCTAGGTCCAGCTAGGGTCATAACTGTCACTCCAGCCAAAACTGGGCGAAGGCCCCCATGGCCATGGCTTCCACCTGCTGTTCAAGCAGGGGCCATGAAACTGGGAGAGCTCCTGCCAAGGCGTGAACTTCAGGGGGAGGGCAACCCCATCCAGAGCTGCTTTTGTTACAAAATTGATTTGAAGTCTACTGACAAAACAAGCTTATTTTGCCCCATTCAGACCTTCCCAGTCTCTCAGGACTTTAACAGCATCTCCAACTTGGCCCAAAACGGTGATGTAAAACTGGATGTCAATGGCCTTTCCCAGAGTTTTCATGTAGAGTTTTCATGCAGATGTTACTTAATATGGGCAAAAGCACCAAAACCCACACCGGTGTTCCCAAGAGCTCACATGCTACGTCCCCCACCTCTAGAAGCACCCACTAAGTTAGGGCTGGAACCACCATAAAATGGTGCCCTCAACTGCCATCCTTTTCAGGGGGCCAGAAGAACACCATGGTTGATGATACTGAACACTGCTGAGAGATCTAAGAGGGCCAAGAGGGTGCACTCCTCCAACTGAGGTCCAACAAAAGCAACCAGTGCTGCTTATGTACCATAACCAGGTCTGAGTAGTGAATGAAAATAATGCAAACAATGTTTCAGCTAGGATTTTCTGTAGTTGATTTGCTTCCATATTCTCAACTACCTTTGTAAGGATGGAAAAATTGGAAAGTTGGCAAAAAAAATTTAAAAATTTCTGGATGCATGTACAGTAAGGATGCATTATACTCTTCCCAGAGAGGCTCTGACTAACCCCTGGAGCTGCTCACATCTCCCCAAGCCAGGAAGAGCATAGGTCAAGCCTCTGATGTCAAGAGTTCAAGCAACTGAGAACCCTACCCACTTCCTCAGGTCCATAAGATCAAAAGAATCCGATGGCAACACAAGGTGATGCCCTGCTCTCCACAGCAGACTCTGCCCAAATACTGCAATGTCCTCAAAGGTCCTTCCAACTCTGTACAAGAAATTATCTCTAAGTCCCTTCCAACTCCACGATTTTTTTAAATTCTAAGAGTAAAATAAAGATAGAAATGAAGTGATTATAGCCAACTGGGGTTGGTTAGGACCAGCTGAGGGTGTAAAAAAGTAAGAGTTATAACTACTGTATAATGCATAATTAAGAATGAAATTTCTAATCTATTTATTGATTTGATTTCTAGAAAGGATAGATAGAATGAAGATTTAAGATCAGCATGTAATTAAAAGCATAAATGAGAAAAGAGAAGAGAAGCAAGCTCTAAGAGTGAATGAGAAATAGAAAATTAATAATAAATGAGAGAACACCTCGCTTCTCAGTTAAGTAACAGGGGCTATTTCTGTAGTGTGCCTTGATAACAAACACTCTTTTCTCCAACAGAAGCTGGCCTGGGTCCTGCCTGGGTTTATCACTATCCCTGAATCTGTGACACTCATACTTCAGATTTAAGATTTCTTTGAATCATCAACAGAAATATCCATCATTGGCTAGGTTCATATATCAGAATAAGCCGAAATATGGTTAGTTTGGTTTACTGTTTGATGAGTATGTCCAGACATAATGTTCAGTACACCACAGATAAGTCAAATTATGGCTTAGTTCAATGTGTTATCTGTGTAATCTGATGCCTTAGTATAGGTGCCCAGCAGAAGCCACTACAACAACATACTCAGCGTGATGCCATTACACAAATGATACAAATTATGTAATTTGTGTCAGTTGTGTTATGATTTTCTGTGACATCATGATGTGCATGACATCATTTGCCTCTCCTTACTCCCCTTGCGGACACCATACTCCCAAGTCACATCTATCCAACAGCCAAACACATTCTCCATGCAATGATGACCTATGTTTAAGAGGCAGCGTATGGCCACAATGCCCCCTTTGAGCTCTGAAATCACTTCTCAGCAGCTCTAGCTGTGCCCACCATCCTCTTCACCTGTTAAGAGTGAAGCTGGCGAGATAGGAACCCGAGGTTCCCAGGCTCACGAGAACTGTTTGGACAATACATACTGCCTCTCCTCACCCCTGCCATCCTTGCCCTGAAGAAGCAGAATGGCAGTTGCCTTAGAAAGGCAGAACAAAGAAGCCAAGGGTTTACATTCTGAGAAGACAGGGGCAAAGAGGGCTGGACTGGCGTCAGCTGCAGAAGACAGATCTTCCATTGCCTATGGCTGAATTCTAGCTGTAACTAATAGAGCTCAGGCGTGTCCATGAGCAGTCCTGAAACCAAGTCTTGAATAAGGAGTCAGTGTCTGTAGAGTCAAGATTTCCAGCCATCACTGGAGGAAGCCACACATCACCTTTTAATGCCATTTTCAAAGTTCTGAAAACATTTGAGATATTACAGCAGTGTTTCTCAACCTTAGCACCTTTAAGGTATGTGGACTTCAACTCCCAGAATTCCCCAGCCAGCATGGCTGGCTGGGGAATTCTGGGAGTTAAAGTCCACATACCTTAAAGGTGCTAAGGTTGAGAAATGCACTGTATTATAGGAAGAACCCAGGCTGCCTCAAACTACGAAATGGCAGTATACGACACTCCTGAATGTGCTCTTTGGCTATATCTAAAAATACTGAATTATTATCTACTGAGATCCCACTGAAAAGTCCCCTATGAGCTGAGACTGTGCCCCTGTGGACTAGGGGCTACTGAAACTACAGCTCAAGTCCTGCTATACTGTACCCTCTATAAGGATTCAAGGACCCGCCTTACAACTCCTTATCAGGTCAATTCTGATCTCTTTTATGTACACCTGTTGTTATCAGATCAGTATGATTCAGTCTCCCTGAACTTAGTTAAATTTTGTTAAACTGCCTGTAAAATTAGGCAGAATTTGTCCACCAATGAACTCACCACCAATTGTAATATTTTATCTTGTTCTGTTTTTACTTTGTTTTTATTTTTAATGTGTTTCTGTTTGCAATTCTGGT